GGCATTCTGACATGCCCATCTGTGCCATCTGCAGCAGCTGGAATGCTGTGGCCTGTCAGTGCACCGCTGCTTTCGCGACTGTGCTGGTCCCCACGTCATGCATCTGACGGGTCTAGACTCGAGCCTCAGACCCGCACCCATTCAACACATGACCCTCTGCATCGTCGCAACCTTGAACCTACCTAGGTAAACTTCGAGAAGCCCAAGATATTGGAAACGTGGACTTGGTTTCTTCTAGCTTGTAATTTTCTTCCAGGAACACACTAATAGATGCTTCTTTCCGCCGTGTGCTGATCTGTGTTGGTCGCCCCTTTCTTACGATGGTACCTCCATCCAGTTCACACTACGCGAATACCGCCAAGCCTTCCCTCCTCTTCACCACCTGCTACCTGTCTCATCGTCAACCGCGAGAGACGAGATAATCGCACTGGACAACCTCTCGGTTGATTCTCGGCACCTCCCAACCATGGGTGAGCTTGTTGTGCCATTCCCACGTGTGCGCACCGTTCCGCGTCCGGGCCCGGGCCGACCTGATGTTTTCGACTCATAGTCACGTGACCATCTGCCATTCTCTCCAGGCACCGTTGCCGCACCCATACGACCCATCACTGTACCTGCCATATCAACTGCGCAAACGGTATCATCAAGGTTTGAAGCAACTGCGCATGCAGTCCATCCTGCTTGTCAGCGGATTAGTCTCGTGCTCATTCAAAGCATTCCGTTGGCATCGAGAAGCCTCGCCGTTATCGCCTGCCACCACCTACGTTTGCGACGACAATCTGAAAACATGCGCGGCGGTGCAACATGGTTGAGGTCATCGCATCCCCGAGTGACATCATGCAGCATGCGACACTTCGTGTTTGCAGATATCGTGGCACGATGGGGGCACAAGTCGTCTCGGCTGCAGCTGCCTCGAAATTTAGCCACCGTGGCAGGGCATTAATGGCGCATGCGTCGCCAATCCCAGCCACACCACGCTGTGCCATCCACGCCCATCAATAGCGATCCCTTGCTTCCGTGCTGGAGCAGAAATTTCACACTATTGAAATTGAGTACTGCAATCAGATCAGAAAGGAAAGAACTGGAACACCGAGATCAATCAAAACCGTCCTCGACTGGTCGTCGCACGAGGTCAATGAGCACATCTCCACGACCCAACACTGAACGCGCAGCGAAGCGGCCCTCATATATCCACGCCAAGCTTCACTAATAGAACTCTTGCAAACCATGGAGCTCCGGCTAGCCGCCAGACGTATCAGGCCGGTTCATCACCCCACTTTTCCTGCCCGCCTGTCAGTAGAGTGGTCAGCTTCGACATGCCCCTCCACTCGAAGCCGTGCTGCTTCCCCTCATGCCATCTCCATCTGGCCAAGCATGTACAGCATGAGTGATTTGCTCAAAGACAACTGGGGCAGTGCGCTCCGGGGCTGCTGTGAGATGCCCCGCTGGCAACGGACTGTGCACAGATCCATTTGCTTTAAAGTCCTGTCGCGCCCCTCGCATATCATCAGCTCCATACTTGCTTCTCTCTGTGCTTCCTGCTACCCCACATACTGTTTTCTTAGAGACACTCACAAGATAAATACACAATTGCCAGCTAAGAACCCACCATGGATTTCCTCAAGAAGAAGATGAAGGAGCTCATGGATGACGACGACAAGAAGCCAGCCGGTGAGTAACTCTATAACAAACAAAGAGACTAAGTACTTATCCGGATAGACTCCCAGGCTGCTCCCGGTGGTGCTGGCCCTGGTGATCGCGCACTTTCTGATAGTTACTATGGAGGCGGACAAGGCGGTCCTCCCCAAGACCAAGGCTATCCACCTCAAGGTCATGGCTACCCGCCTCAGGGTCCTCCTCAAGGACAAGGATATCCACCCCAAGGATATCCGCCTCAAGGTCAAGGTTACCCACCCCAGGGCTATCCACAACAGCAGCCTTATGGCGGCGCCCCCACCCCCACAGGTCCACCAGCGCCGTATGGAGCGCCTCCGCCGATGCCACCGGGCTGGACTCAGCAATGGGACCAGAACAGCCAGCGATGGTTCTACATTGAGCAATCAACTGGTCGCACGCAATGGGACCCTCCTTCGCATATGCCACCTGGCCCATATGCCCCACCCGCAGCAGGCGCACCCTACATGCCTCCAGCCGGTCATGATGAGCGCGGCCTATTCGGCAACACCCACGGCCACCAGGGACACGATTACACACAGTCTGGAGCTGCCACGAACGAGGCCGAGAAGAAGAAGGGCCATTCTGGTGCCATGCTCGCCGCCGCTGGTGTTGGAGGTATCGCAGCCGGTGCCTTCATTGGCCATCAACTCGGTATGTTGCTTTTGTGTATATAACATGCGGCAGCGCGACTAACACATACTAGCCGACGACAGCAGCGACGACGAGAAGCAGCAGTCATATGCGCCTCCGGCGGCGGCTCCCGCAGCTGGTGCAGGCGGCTACGGTGCTGACCCGGGGTACGGGGCTGATCCCGCCTATGGCGCTCCTCCTCCAGCAGGCCCTAATGACTATGATAACCACCCGGCCTTTGAGGAGCCCCCTCCCGTTCCCACCCATGACGCCGACGGTGACTCCATCTCAAGTAGTGACCGTGAGTCCATGGAGGAGAAGCGCGAGGAGCTCATCGAGGCGCAGGAGGAGTATCAGGAGGAACTCGAAGAGAACTACGACGATTAAACGCAGGACTTTCGGTCGTCGGTCGATCGATCGATCGGTGCGTGGGAAAAGGACGGATCACGAAAGTAACGACAGGTATTTTCTAAAACTTATGAGCCACGAGTATCGTTAGCATGATGCAAAGAAGGAAAGATCAGCCAACTTGTGATTCTCTCACTCGTATTCAAAGAAAACAGTTTCAGATTTGTGCAAACTAAGGCAATACCACTTAACTCCATCGTCACTGCAGTGACGAACCAAGGTAAGTTCTGACTGTACGAAGTGCATGTGAGACATATACTGACTTCGTACCTCTACCTCTGCAGGCCATTATCCCATACCTCTCCCCCGTTGTGCCCCCATCGAAAACCCATGGATATCGGCGCCCTTGCAACGAGAGAACGTAGTGAGCGTGTATTCATCCCTTTCCCTCTAAACCATCGTCTTCACCGTGTCGCGTGCTGTAGTGAGCGTGGCTAGCAGCAGTCGCAGCAGTCCAGGCAATCGAGGCAGCATTCGCATGTCTCACCGCAGAGCCAGCAGCAGCACAAGGTCGCAAGACTAGTCGTCGCATTAGCTCTGTCCATGTTCTGTAACTATGCAACACCCAGCCAGTGTTGCGAAAAGGAAGAAAACACTTACCAAGCAGTCAAGCATCCCCTCTCCTTCTTTGGTTCCTCTTGTGGCGGCGGTGGTCCTTGCTGATAGTACATCTAATTCACGAACAGCGTCAGCCACACCCTAAATCACCGCAAACTCGCAATTGCACGTTATGATAATAGATTAGACTTACCGGTTGCTGAGGCGGTGGCCCATAGCCCGGCTGCGGAGGGCCATAGTAGCCAGGTTGTTGGGGAGCAGGGTAGCTCATATTTAATAATTTGGTGTTGTAGACCTGACGTTGGAATAGAGATGCGGGCTCGTGGCTGGTGAAGCGTCTAGCTCGTGGTGTGGCAAGTGAAGAGAGGCTGGTGGTGAGGGTGTGCTGTGGCAGAGGAGTGTGGCAGACGATATGTGTGGCACAGCAAAGTGGAACTTTTAGGGGGACCAACCCGTGTCTTTTAAGATTGCACGTCTTGACGCGCCTGGCTATTGCTTTCGGCAAACGGCAACACCGGATCTGCGAGGTAAAGGGTGCGAGAGGCTATGCACGACCCAACGTGCTCATCGTAATTCACCGCGTCCATGCCGGTATACGTTCCGTACTTTTGGACGGCTGCGGGTGAGCTTTGCTCGGCGCCACATGTGTGGCAGTCAGGGCGCGTAGCTGTGGCATATGCTCGGGCTTGCTGAGGCATGAGTGGGACCAGGCAAGCCACTGCTGTGACGATGGACGCACGACCCTTGTCATACGCGTGTGCAAAGTCTTGGTATGTAAGGCGCATGACTTGATAGCGTTTCGTTCTGCGTGCGAACAGTACGATTTACGCTGCTTTGCTACGTGGTGCGGTGTTGCAAGGATATCTGTTCAGAATGCGAGACATAGTGAACAAACATCGTATGCATACATTTTCGATACTTCCTACCACGGATTCGGGAAAAGCGCGAGCTGAAATGACCTTTTCGTGAATGGCACATGTGAGGTGCTGTTGGGTTGCATATGCGAGCTTGCCGTTCGTTCCGGACGCTAGCGACCAAAGTAGCTTAGCTGTGGCGCCACTTTTCAACAGGCAATATTAGACGGGCCAGTTAAAGTGGCTCAGTCGTCCGTTCCCTTGGCATGACAGCAGCGACGAAGCTGGTGCTCTGACGATATCATGCCTACCAGATTTCTGCCATGGGCCTACTTGTGAGGCCTAATACGAAGACGAAAACACCACCAAGAGATCCGAAAGCTACTGTGGTATCGATGCCGGGGACCTTGGGCGGCGCGGAAGCGTCCGGCGCCAAGTCAGCATATACGCCGTCGGCGACCAAGTGGAGAGTCTGCGGTCCGAAAAGCGATGTTTGTCACTCTGGTTGGGAGCCGGCTTGGCGGTAAAAGAACTTTGAGGGTAGTCGACTAACCAACATAGCGACTTCTTGTGGCGCAGGTGAGGCGCAATCTCGATACAAGCAATGGGATCCCAGGATTGTCAGTACCAAACAAACGGGTCGATCCGTATGACAGCTCTTCGTTTCGTGCTGTTAGACGACGCGTGGCTTGGTAGACAAAGCAGAAAAGCGGCTCGTAGAAGTCGTAGTGTGGAAGTCGAAAGGAGCGCACATGGATGATCTTTCGCTCGTTTGAACAGTTGATACGTTGCGCTGTCGACTCCTTCACGAGAAGTAGCGAAGACTGCCGTGATTGACAACCCTTAGGGTTACGGTACGTCGTCACCGGATTCCTATGCTTCCGCTGGCCGAGGCACAAAGCCCCGTTCGGCTCTTCGCTTCTGCACCCACTCGCCGAAGGGTTTCCAGATGGCCTCTTTCTCGGCCGGCTTCAGACTTGCCGCTAGACCGCTCGTACTCGTAGTAACAAAGACCCTGGACCCGTTCCATACATTGCCATCGACATCCTGCTCTTCCTGGCCATCCTCGCTTTTACCCATGTTGTGCTCCTCGTCCTGCCACCCGTACTTGAAATCTTTCTTGCCCATGTTCTTGCCATAGCGATACCGCCAGATGGCTTCCCAGATCCCCTTGCCTACTATGCACACAGCCTCTGGCTTGTATTTGAGGAACTTGGCATCCAGCTGTGCCGTACCAGCAGCAGTCTCCTCTTTCGAGAGCTCGGCAGCGTCTTTGGAGGGTCTCTCGACGATGTTGGTATTACCCATGCAATAAAGAGCAGGGAGACTCCGATCTTCCTCAGGCTTCAGTCGACGGTCGGTAAGTCCTGAGGAGTGGAGCAGCTTCCAGAAAAGGTTCGAGGGATGGGCATAAGCATGCCCTGCAGCGGCCGTCTGAACACCTGGATTCGTGCCAACAAAGATACAGATCAGATTAGGCTCTAGTATGTCGACCAGCGGCGATAGATGCGCGTATTTGGATGGATCAGCATATTTGCTGGGTTTCCTCTTCTTTTTCGGTCGTGGGGAAGGTTCCGGTGCGATCTTTGCGACCGCCGTCACAGTAGTCCTACTGCGCTTTCTAGGTTCTATCGGCGATCTGGATGTTAGTCCTGTACGCTGGTCCGTCTGCGTTTCGGTGTATTGGAACTTCTTCAGTCGGTCTTGGAAGGATGCAGATGATGGTGTCGCCAGCTGATCATCGGGTTCTCTGACATCATCATCACTCAGAACTCGTGGAACTGCTTCAGCGTTCTCGCTATACCGCTGATTCGAGCGTGTGCGAGCCATGCGTGTTGCGTTGTGTCTCAGATTTGAGAAAGAACGCGGTCATAGCAAGTCGCGTCCCTTCGAAATCCGGACGCGTTGACGTCATCGGACCCACTTTCGCCTAGAGCCAATCGCTACCTGTGCACTCGAACAGCACCAACCGCGACGCAGCCTTCACGAGACCGTTCTCTATGTACGCGTGCATTCATTTCGGAGATATTTACTAATGTACAATTGAGGCATACCCGCTCGTCCTTCTCTTGATACCTTTCATGGCCCTCGGCTGTACCTGGGTCCACCTCTTTGACAACCGTGAGTGTAGAGAAAGCCATAGAGTATACATCTTCGTATGTGCGCTAGATGGGTTTGATGGTGCTGTAGTGTTCTGGCAGCATCGTCTCATTATGCACATTTCAACTAAAACCCCCGGTCCAAAGCTGGTCGCAACAATGTTCTCTCTTCCTTCTCCCATTCGGCGAAGTTTGTCCAACACGATGAGCACGGTTGGGCTGGAAGAGTTCCCATAGTTATGGTACACGTCGAGTGAGGCTCGGATGTGGTCGTCGTTGAGTTGCAGAGCTTGCTTGGCCCCCTGTAGGATGGTCGCGCCGCCAGGATGAATAGCCCAATCGAAGTTCGAAGCAGGATTGCGAGTCGCCAATGCAGCGGCGTGAGTAGTATTGAGGGCGGTACGCAGTCGATCGAACAAGGGCAAGATGGCGTCGATGGCTGTGCCTGGAACGTGTTTGCTGATAGTAGCTATCATGCCTGCTAATATATTAACATCAACTCAAAGCAACAGAAATGCAACACTGGACGTTACAGAAACATACCATGCTTCTCGATATCGTACGAGATGTAGCTCGAAGTGCCCGGCACAACTACACTGTCCCAATCTTGTAGCTCGAACACTGGCTTTTGCTTGTCTTCCAGGGCAAGACCGTTGCATACTGCTAGCGCCGCTGCGCCATCGGAGAATAGCGCTGGAGCTACGTGTAGCTTACCGTCTTCACGGGCCGCTTGGACCTCTGCCTGAATAGAGAGACTGCATATCTCACACGCCATCACCAGGACGCGGGCAGGTCGTCCTCTTTGTGATGCGGCAGCGGCGATGCTAGCAGCTGCCCGAAGCGCTGATAGACCACCTGCACACCCCACGCCATGAAGTAGCACTCGTTGCACGTTTGGGCCAAGTCCAAGCTCCTGGCATACAAAGAGATCATAGCCGGGGTTGCTCTGATCAGTGCAAGTCACTGCTACCGTGTGCGTTATGTCGCTGGGCTCAAGGCAAGCTTCTCGCATAGCCTCTTTGCAGGCCAAGGTGGTGAGCTGCACACCTTCTGTCCGGAACATTCGGGAGATTGAGTCGGCATCCGGCGGTGCAGTGTTCTCTTTGGACCATCCTGCGTAGTCGAGGATAGTTGGGCGGGAGACGATCTTGGTTTTCTTGTTGAACTGGATGAGCTTCTGGATACTGGCGAGGCTATTAGCATTGGACGAATAGTTCCTATGGAAGACACTGGATGACTGACGCTGGTGAAGTTACTTCATCGGGGCACAAGCGCTGCAAGAAGTCCTCAAACTGCTCCTGTCTTACCGAATGGGGCGGGTACTCATGGCCCAGGCCAATGATGTATATAGCATTGTTCTTGCTACTGCGTGACATACCGTTCACTGAAGACATCTTCCCCTTGGATCAAAACCAACTGCGACACGGAGGGCGTAAGCTTATCACTCTCTACCCCCCTTACACCCGTCCCGTCACCAAATAGCAGATGCGCTCTTCGCACCTACACCCATTCGCAATGTGTAGTCCAGACCGCGCCACTCTTGACTCACCCGTAGCCCGGAGTTCTGAACACATCCATACGAAGACTTGGTCTACCATGGCCTAGCTGAACAACCTTGTGATTTACGGGCTGAAAAGGTCTTCACCGGCCAGTGAGCACTACTTTTGCCTTTAGCGATGTGAAAATAGCCTACCGCTAGCGAGTAAGACATGAGATGGGTGTGATTTCGCTAGATCTGCTGCAGCCTCAGCACACTCGCGAAGACTTGGTATGCCACCAACAAGTTCCACTCGCCAACGTAATGCGGCCTCTTCGGAGTCTTCGAGCATTGTGGCAGCACAAAACCGGCTTGTATGCCGTCAATAGCACGCCGCTGACGGGGCGAAAATGGTGAAGCCTTAGTGTTCGCGTTCCTAAATTCTGTGCTCTCGCGAAGAAATGCCTCATTAGGCATTCAGAAAGGACTTTTCGACACCTAAATGTTAAGATTGCCGAAGATCATTTTGCTCCTCCTTTGTTCGATTATCACGCTGTGATCCTGCCGCTGCGTTCGGACATTTTCTTTGTTGAAATATCCCCCCTTGGTAACTCAGCTATGACCAATCATGGAAATGGAAATAAGAAATTATACATAATTCCTCAGGCCTTCATAGGGGGCCTCGGAGATCATTGAGGAACTCCGGTGAGTCGTCTGAGCTTCTCATACGTGAACAAGGCGGGAGAAAGAAGCGCACTAGGCGCTGGCGCTTGCCACAGTCGCTAGCGAACCTTTCAGTCGACGATATGTGTATCTCGCCGACCTCTATGGTCCCCAGAAATCGTGTTCGGCCGTGTTGGCGCCTTGATCATCTACCAATAGGTTGATGTGATAACGAAGACCGTCGAGAATGGACTGCCGGTTGAGTCCGCATAATACTAGCCTGAAATCTCTCGATCCAAGCGAGCGCCACAAGACTGCCTGACCGGGGCATGCGAAGTGAGGGCCTATCGAGCCAGCTAATGCCTCGCGATCTATTGTAAATTTTACCACCGGGAGGGGCGAGTATGCGAACGGGATATGGAGGACGAGGAGGCCCCAAATCTGACGATTGACTCCGGGTCAGTGCCAAGAGATAATGCGACGACAGAGATGGTTTGACTACACATGAAGCTAGTGCGTGCCGCGTTCGCCCGCCCTGCTTCTAGCAGCTGAAAATCCGTCATTTCTAGGGGCGGTAAGCGTAGTCAGCGTGTACGATCTGGTACCCGTTGGACCGTACGAGCCTCTCCACTATCAACAACATCGCCAAGAAGTCGTGTCACTACCGCCACACGCGATAGAGGGCGGAGTTCAATGTTCGGGCACACTCTAGTACTTTTCCGGCGCGGAGACGATCTCCTTGAACGTCCAGAGACGTGTAGTCGAGGTCATGGATCAGGATGGGGCCGCAGGATAATTTGAGTTGCAGAAGGATTCGTGCTGTAAGCGAAGAGGACGTTCCCGAGGGGGTATGGGTGTGGAGGACACGATACCCGGTTCGATGTCGAGATAAAGGTGTGGATGAATCCCGGTAAGAACGTGGCACGGTCCCCATTTCTAGTGACAGATCTTCATCGCGGTTACTTCTGATGTTGTGAGGGACGTTGGTGGAGAAAAGTCGTGACGTGCAGTGCGAGGACATCTACTCCTGACCAATCGATGGCGGAGACGCTGAGAAATGGATTTAGAGGGGTCGTGTTTATCTTCGCGATCGATTGGCGACAAATCGTGAGCGGCTTACGGTGTGAGCAGAACGCGATTCAGGGCGTATGTAAGCGCCGTCTTACCTGGATGTGGCACAGCAAACGCATGTCAGATGCCATCAAACGTCGCCGACGGCTAACCTCGACAGAAATGGGGTCCTCGATCAACTGTAATTGTGTGCCATCATCGTGCTTCCCGTTATTGTTGAGCTTGCTGTGCCGCATGCGGGGGTTCTGCCAATCCGCGGTCCGAACCGTAGTGGGTGTGCTAAAGTCGTCGGATGGTTCGCATCTGGTATATTGAGCTCTTTCCCGGGAAATGTGTTGGGTCCCAGGTCATCAACGGGCGGAACGCACAAGGACTTCCGGTGTCCATACCCGTGGGTACCTAAAGAGTGGGGCGTAAGCACGTGACCATAATCACCTTCACACCAATGCACACTTCAGCTCGGCGAAAGCGGCGAAGGGGGGCCAAAGGGATGTGCGTGTGATCCAATGGAGAGGGCTGGGTTGTATGTCAGATGCTTACAATGTGCAACTAATGTTAGAGGGTCTCGCACAAAGCAGGAGCCCTTGCGAAGATGTCGCTGAAACCTACATGCGTCCGGCAAGCTCGGTGTTTAAGGCGGTCAATTAGGCCTCAACTCGGGTCATTTCATATCGGCGACTGCGGCGTTGCTTTCGGGCTTATGCTGCCAGACGTTGCATCTTTGAAGTGATTGCTGCTGTTTTCGCTTCCCACAGGATCCGTGCCATGCGCAATGCTTTCCTAATCCGGATTACTTCGCGTGGCGGCCAGACTAGTGTAGGATGTACCGCGAAAGCACTCGCGAAAAGCATCGTTGCCAGTTAGCACTCACGTGGTTACCTGTGTGCATTTGCGAAGTGGGTTCGAGTTTTGAGCGAGACACCGCTGCTTTGGAGTATATATCCTAGGAACTAGCATGCCATCAAAACATACTTTCCGATAGCGCTGTCGATCACAACGAGAAACATGATGGTTATGGACAGATTCGACGACGTCTCATACGGATTTGAGATGATGCGACAGCAGAATTTTGCATGGAACAGCGAAGTTCTTGTGGAGCAACTTACGAAGCAGTGAGTGACGAATGCGACTACGACCCGGTCAGGACTAATTTGCCAGAAATGACAGCCAAAAACCTCGCCCACCTCGAGTCGAAGAGTTGGCTTCAGACATCTATACACGTCTACCACGTGAGCTACGCAACCGGGTGTACGCGTTCTGCGTCCAGGGATCCTATGACAACGAAGTCATCGTTCGGCGTACAGCAACCGGAAACGGCCGACGCTTCGCGCACCTCATCCGACAGGCGTGCGGCCAGCATTCTTATCAATGGATCGAAGACCCCACCGCAGCATACATGAGTACAGGAGGTTTGGGTAATGAGGTTGCTAGAGAATTGCTCGAATGCTACTACTGGACACGTACATTCAAGTTTGCCCATCACGAGCTCTTTCTGCTCAAACCGTTTCTTGAAACGGATGGTTTCGGGCTGGGAATGATTCCAGCGCATTATGCAAGACGCTTGCACATACAGATTCGGCCGCTTGACTTTGCGTTTCTGTTGCCGGAGAAGCGGCAGTTTGAAGAGCGGCGGTATTGCAAAACCATTGAGGGCCTCACTGTCATCAAGACCGCTCGAACTGAGGTCGTAATCGAAGTCGATTTAGCGCAAGGGTCTCTGGGAGATGGTGATTACGAGCGCTTCTCCTACGAAGCTGCGCAGTTCATGTTGAGGATAAGAAGTGTGGTAGAGACTCTCCAAGAGACGGGACTACGCATACATCTTGCGACCATTTAACCTCGAATTTCCGAGGTTATCCGCATATTTTTGATTTTATGAAGCATAAACTTTACATTAGCGTGGGAGTCAATGGATGAATCAGGACACTTGTGCCTATAGGTAGTGCAGCTGTCTTTTGTGTGCTCCTTCTGATATGATCGGTATAATTTTCATCTCCGCAAGAAGTTTTGGTGGCGTGGCCAGGCGTAATTAGGCTTGCCGTGTTTCGTCTCTTATTGCTGCCATGCGATCCGTGGCTAGGCAATGGCTTCCGGCCCGCACAAAGGCCGAAAATGATCCCCGAGCGACACCATCAGTGGATGTCTTTGATTGGACGCTATTGTGAGCTTCAAGCGATGATAGAGTGAGATGGAAAGCTGGTGTTGATGAAAAGACTTTGATGAAAGCTGCGTTGACGTGGGCCGAAGGACACATGCGCTAGCCAGCGACAGGGGCCAAAGGATCGCGACTCCTCTCCACCAGCGCAGCTTGGCTTAAGCCACGATGCAACATCGTGACGATCAGCCAATCCCAGTGTCTCAACCCAAGAGCCTAGACTGATCGTTTCTTTCTCGCAGATAGGACTGCGCGACAAATGCACGTTTCACGCGCTGTGCGTAATTGTCAACTGCTATCGCAACTGCTCCATTATTCGTTGAATCTAGGAGTTCCGTATACATACTAGCATCTACAGACCATATATGCTGTCTTTGTCGAAGAACACAAGTACTGCTTCACTACCCCTCACGTTCACTGCAGCATCTGTCCCAACCGCTTCAACCACCGCGTTACCCATCGGCTCACCCTGAGGAAATGATTGTCCAGCCCAAGATGTCAAGGAGCTATTCCCAGTGTTTACGAATGGTGCCGTCAATCTCTTTACACCTAAGCACCCGCCGTCGGAACCCACAGCGCCCGATAGATCAACATGTACCGAGAAGTCTTCGGTCGAGTTAGCGTAGAAAGGCTTCATATTGACGAGTGCTAGTTTCGACAGGTGATCGTCGACGTAGAACGCATATGCAGAGAACGACTCTGGATCGACGCCAGCAGGTGGCTCGAGAGCGCGAACCCGAGTGTCGGGCACAGCAAAGGCCTCAGCCATGAACAGCTGCGCGAGGAAAGAGGGCAGAGTCCGTGCCGGGCCTCTCAACTCAGTGTCGCGAGGGTATAGCATTGAGTAAGTGCTGAAACCTGGACTACCGTTTGCACCAGGCGTGTTGAGCTGTTCGTCGGACTGAAGAGCAAGTGTAGCACCCTGGTGTAGATGCGTGGAACTGGCATTCCTTGTCGCGTAGATTAGCTCGCTATCGATGACCCAAAGTGCTTGCGCAAATGTATCGGTGACGTTTGGTGCTCCAGAGCAAGAGACGGAGTTGAACTCGCCAATGTTCCAGTTGTTTCCGGCATCGAGAGCAGCGCGGGCAGACGGGTAAATTTCTTCATCGCAGTAGCGTGTGAGCTCGGTATGATTGAGGATGTTCTCGATGGTGGCCAAGGCGGCGCGTTCTGGATCGCAGGTTGAGAAGGCATACGAATGTATCGAATATATGCCAACCTGATCTTCTGAGTCGATGCCTGCAGGGATGAGTGCTGCAGGTCGAACCTCTAAGCCTGAGTCATCAGTCGTGGCGGAAGATGCCCACCAGCGCTCTTGAGGAAGATCTGAACTGTTCAAAGCATCCAGCGCGGTATCGATGCTAGCTGTGTACTGTTTCCATTGCTGCACATAGGCTGCAGTCGAATCGTTCCACCGGCTCTCGTCATAGTTGGTCGGCTCGTTACCAAGCTCAAGGTACGCGACCTTGTCAGATTGATAGGTAAGCGATGCGACTGCAAGGCCTGTAGAGATTTCCAAACTCTCATTGCCAAAGTTGAGAGTTGAGATGAACCTGGTGCCATTGGGGAAATTACTCCAACTCTTGTAGTAATCGGGTCCAACAGTGGTCCGCCATACGCCGCCTTCCGGACTAGTGGTACGCACCACGTCGCCACCGTCAGCGTCGAATATCATGCTGTCCATGGTAATGCCGCCAGGTCGGATGACAGGACTTCCACCATGCTCATGGATCCTGTTCAAGACACTGAAAGTAAGGTTGTTGGGAGTACTAGCATTACCGAAGAAGTCAACCCAGAAGGCAGGTTCGAACGAGAATGAGGCAAAGGAGTTGCTATGTGGTATCGAAGCGCCTTCTGCTGTCTTTGGTACGCTTAGACATGCGGCTCCGGAGTGGTCTGTCGTTGGGTATGCGTAGACAGCAGAGGCAGCAAGGGAAATGGCGGCGACTCTGATTGGGGCCATTATGGGAGTGTTGAAATCGTTGGTGGTTTATGGAAGGAGCTGTCCATATTCCCATGGCTATCCGAGCTTCATATGCCATCGGAAGCTATGACAGAAAGCGTATCGACATCATCGTGCCTCTTTTTCTAGGCTGAAGCGGACGCGATTATTCCGACGGCCGCGAGATGTTCCATTGAGTTGCCGGAAAGGTTGCTGAAATGGTCCTAGAAGATGTGGGGAGGCTGCGGGGAATTGGCGGATCGTCGGGCTCGCTCCATAGCGGGGGCAAAAGTCGGGTTTAGCAACAAAGGGCTAAAACCATAACACTAATCACCTGGTCACGGACCTGCGATCCATCCTGATAGAGACCGAGTCCGCTGGTGCACAGGGATCTTCTATCCTGTTTTTCTAATTTGCCATTATTCAACCATGTTATCAGCTCGACATTCTGAGTAGAATCACCAGGCAGCGGAGCGTGGCAGACAGAGTCGAGAAGCGCGGTTCTTGCTGTATCCATGAAACAGAAACGGAAAGCCGTGGATTGGTAACAGATATCGGTCGGCTCGGAGTAGTACTATTTTGTACCTACGGCACCGTGCGGCACACCCGTCCTTCTCCGCATCATGACCTCACCCATAGCATTCCTCACCTCCTTCTCCTGATGCACCACATTTTGCACCATGTACTTCTTGAGTGCTTCCCTCAGCTCACCCTTTGCCCTCTCGTTGTCCCTGTATGGCACGCTTTCCAGCTCCAGCAGTCTGTTCGCATCCTTATTACTCTCCGCAACAAGCGCGCTGAGACGATCAAGCTGCTTGTGGCGAGTGTCTTCGGTATCGTCGTTGGCTTTAGCGGCATGTTGAGGGTCGCTTCGGTAAAGTGGCATGAGCAGACCGAGAAACTGCGTAAGGGAGATCGCAGCTTTCTTCAATATGGTGATGATTTGAAAGGGTAGGTATGGGGGACGCAGGTTGGTTCTTGCGACGAACGGGTTCAAGTATTTCGAGAGAAAGGTGGGGTAATCTGGACGAAGAGCGGTACGGATTTCGAAAGTCGCAACAGCGAGAAGTCCTAGGTAGCGCCAGTAGGACCCGTCTGTTAGGAAGCCGAGGGCGTTTGCGCCAACCAGAATGATGAAGAGTACGCCGTAGGTGGTAGCGGTAGTGAGCAGCGCACTGTCTGTGTAGTCCTTGATAGTCAAACAGCTCTGGCATTGCGCAAAGATGCTTGGCCCGAAGCGGTCATATGCGAACCGCTTTACAGGATCCATTATGATGTCTTTGGCTCGCTTCAGATGAACATAGAAGTCATTTGCCCTCTCTCTATCCACGTTCGGCCCAATCTTATCTGGGTGGTATCGAATCGTCAGCCTCCTGAATCGCGTATTCAGTGCGCTCTCGTCGACGTCTAGTGGTACACCAAGGTCGTTGTATGCATTGCTAGAGCGCTGCAAGTTGAAGTCGACTTCGTAAATGGTGAAGGCGAAGTAAGCGGCGTAGATGGCGATCAAGATGTTGCGGCGGTGCTTTATGAAGCGCGGAGTACCGGGCTGCGGTTTCGGGTCGCCAGCGCGAATGAAGATGCTGTAGAGAATGGACTGGGCCCATCCCGCTGCCTGTGTCGCGTTAGATATTGCCGTGCCGCAGGTGTGAGGGCTAGCTTACGACGGGAATGAGAAACTGCCACACTAGGAAAGGACCCAGAGTGTCAAATGACACGTTCGATATCGCCATAGTGCTCGGTCACTGGTGTGAGAACATGAGGACGCAAGGTCGAAGTATCGAAGAGTGGAATGGAAGCCAAGTGTCATCGAGGCGCGCGTTCGGAACGTTCCGAGCACTACCGAGGCACGTGCGTTCGTCGCAGCACCTTGAAGTCCCGACAGAACTACATAGTCTCATGAGGTGTGCCACACATACACAAGAATTGTTTTGGTAGGATACAACTAACTTTGCGGAAATGAGGACTCATTGGGTGACTTGTATCGACTGATACAAAAAGCCTGACAACATTCAAGCACTATAGGTAAGATTGCTCCCGTATTATGACGAGACACCTTCAACACCAGCGAAGAAAAGATTGCGCCTTCGACTTGAGACAGGGGTCTGTATTTGGTTGGTACTGTTAGTGAAGTCACACTATGGTATCCGTAATGGTTGTCATACTTAGGTAGGTAGGTAACTGTTCAAGGTTGAGTCCATTGATTTCACTCACCCACAACACACAAATACACACATCGTGAAAATCTCTTCACCCAGCGACAGACACCATAAAATACCCGTGGATACTTAGCAGAATGACCACTGCCGGCGATATCGACAAGGCCTTCACTTAGGCGTTGAGCGAAGCAGCCAATTTCTGCAACAAGGACCGCCTGGACGAATGTATCGAAATGGCCCGCGCCCTTCTCGCTGATAAGTCTATATCACGACACCAACGTATGAAAGCGCTCCTGTCTTTGGCTTCAACACTGGGCGACTGGGAAGACGCGAACAACTGTCACGTGGAGGCGGAGACCCTGTGGCGTGTACATAGGCGTTCGCATCCAGAGGGCGAGAATGCTGAGCTCGATATGTACATGGACGAGCTGCGCGAATTCTTAGACGAAGTGGGTGTCGAGTTGGAGCGGACTAAGTCTGGAGACTACGACCCGGAAAATGACGTGGATGACAACATCGCGGCGCACGATGTAAGCTCTAGCTATATGGAGTGCATGTGAGACATATGCTGACTTCGTACCTCTACTTCTGCAGGAGCATGTGGAGGATGTGACTGACGCCATGGAGACCCTTGAAATGACCGACAGTGCGATGAAAGATTAACCGCTTGTCGGTGTCCCCGCTACCGAGGTTGCTGCGTTTACCGATGATGTTCCCGCTATCACGATTGCTGCGCCTGCCGAAGGTGGAGGTGAGACTGCAGATGGTGCTGACCCTCAGGCTCCTCAGGACCAAGGAGAAAATGTATGCCCCGACCTTGGTTGAATCCCTGCTCCCCTGCTTACTATATCGCAGTCTCGTAATTTGGCGCTGCGCATCGATGCTGGTCTTGCAAATGCTCAATTATGGTCGTCGGTCTCACCTGCGCTGAGTCCAAACACGCCAGCATGGCAGCCGACTGGTACTTCTAAGCTTTCCTCCTCAAGCCCGCCTGCATCTAAGTAGGATATTGTACTGACGGTTCATCAGGGCGTACGAGTTCAAGGGTGCAGGAGACATAATGTAGTGAGAAAAGTCATAGATTTCTATGGTTGACGACATCTGTCGATCAATGGTATAAAGCGATGCTATGCAATTAGAAACAAAACGAAACTCGCGCATTCCTTAAGACATGCGACATAGCAAATTCCTCCATGCATCTCAAGCCTAGATGGGTGACGTTTGTGCGTCGGGTATAGTTCCTCCAGGCATAATGCATAACAAGTAACGACTCAACGATACCGTAGCGCACACAGCGCGCTCATTCGCAATCATGTACGACCAGCGCTCGTATCTTCGTCTTGCAACATATCAGATCTTACATCTGACCTCCAGCCTGAGGCATCAGCTCCTCATCCTGCTGACGCTTCTCCTTGAGCGATCCAGCAGCCGAGCGGTTCTCGACGTCGCTGTCGGAAAGGTCGTACTGGCGAACGGCCTCGGCGATCTGAGCCTCGTCCATCTTGGGGAGCTGCTTGGCGGCTTGCACGTAGCTCATCTTCTCGGTGTAACCCTTGGCGAAGATGAGATCGATTTCCTCGAGGGAACGACCAGCAGTCTCAGGGTAGAAGAAGTAGATGACAGGAATGAAGGAGGCGTTCAGAGCAGCGAAGAGGAGGTAGGTTCCCCAACCGATGTTGGTGATCAAAACGGGGGTAATCATGACGATGAAGAAGTTCCAGAGCCCTATCAGAATGTTAGCAATTGTCTCGAATGACTTATTAGACAGAGAATCGTACAGTTATTAATGGTTGAAAAAGCATTGGCCTTCTGGCGGGTCTTGAGGGGGTTGATCTCGGCTGGGTACAACCAGGGAAGCGGCAGCCATGTAACACCGAAGAACGCGATGTACAAGAACAGACCGACGGCGGCACCCTTGGCAGGTCCCTCGTTATCCTCGTTCTCCACGCCACCGGGGAGCAGGCAGGCAAAGGTGATGATCATGGCAGTCATCTGACCGACGGTACCGATGAGGTACAACTTTCTGCGGCCGACACGCTCAACGAAGTAGAAAGAGGTAGCGGCGAACATGGCGTAAACAACCATGTTGACACCTCCGAGAAGAAGGGCGAGGTTGTGGTCGGTGTTCAAGGCGCTCTGGCACAGAATGGGGAAGTAGTAGATGACAGCGTTGCAACCGGACAATTGTTGCATGAATTGCGAGGAAGCACCGAGGATAGCACGACGGAAGTGCTGGGACTTGCCGCCGGTAAGAAGAGCCTTAGTAGGGACCTTGCCGCCACCACCAGATGCGCTGACTGCATCACGAATGACTTGCATCTGGACAATGACCTCTTGGTCGTCGCGGGCAACACCGTTGAGACCAGCCAGTACAGTAGCGGCTTCGTCTTCGTGATGGTGGTTGAGAAGCCATCGAGGAGATTCGGGTAGCGAAATCATCATAACGATGACGATCATGGCGAAAACACACTGGAAAGCAATGGGGAATCTCCAGGTGAAGTCATCGGGACCGTAGAGACAGCCGTAGTCGATCCAGTAGGCGATGAGCGTACCAATGGCAACCATGGAACCCTCGATGCAAATAACTTTACCGCGGTTCTTGGCCTTGCAGCACCTGGAAATAGTCAGTAGTTGTTTGAAAGAGCAGGTTTTGGGTCGACGTACTCAGCCTGGTAGGTAGGAATGGTAGAAGTGTTGATACCGTTTCCGACACCAGTAATGCATCGTCCGACAATAAACTGGGCGGTAGCACCGCTGTTGGGAGGAACGCAGGCAATCTGAATGATGACACCGATGATCATAACTCCGGCACCCAGGAAGATACTCTTGCGGCGTCCAAGCTTGTCACCAAAGACGAAGACGAAGATGGCACCAAGCAGACAACCGACGGCATAGATGGAGACGACGAAACCCTCGTAGGTAGAGTCATCTATGACTTCAGGGAACGCGGCTTGGAAGGCGGGAGCGGAGATGATTCCACTCATGACACCCTGGTCATAACCGAAGAGCAGGAAGTCGGTAACAGCAACGATGGTGATGAGAACCTGGAGGGCCCTGCCGGACTTGCCCCAGTAGGTGGGAACACCATTTTCGGACTCCTTGATACGTGGCGGCATGGTTGCGTTGTATCGATGGAAACTGGAGAGGAGTGAGGAGATGCTGGGGAGGAAAGATCCGTGGGGAGAGAGTAGAGCTTTAAATGATCATCGTCCGTTGCGTACAAGGGTGTTCGGCAGAAACGTGGTTACTGGTCGTCTACCCTCGGCCCACTAAAAGATACGCTACCAAGATTCCGACTGACGCGTGGAGAAAACTAGATAACGATTTTTTTCCAACATCTTGGCCTTGGCTGGTGTAGCAGTATGCGAGCCTGAGGTGCGGGCGGTAGAGGCGCAAATAAACTGTGGATACAAAGGCGAACCTAACAGGGTCTGTTGGTGGAGCAAGCCATCTTGGGCCAATCTTGGAGAAGAGCGGAGGACGCTTGCAGTCCAACAAGCGCGCTCGGCACAGCATGTCTCTGCTCCTAGCCCGAGGTTACCTCCACATTACGTCATGTGCGCAGGGCTTGGGGTCAGCCTGGGGAAGACGCAGGTGAAACGATTGGTGAACGACGGGTTCGCCAGTCAGCACAGAAGGCTGGAAGAAGTTTCTTCGCCGCCTACGCCACCCGCAACCGCCTGTCAAAATCTACGGTACGCATGTCAAGATGATGCAGGAACTTCGTCGTCGACTAGGACACCGGTGTAGGTCGAAGGCACCATCTCGGGCTACATGCCGCCGTGTACGGATAGCGTGCTAATTCCTCCCATAAGGCACGGTTTCAGTCTCAACAAGAGGGCGCTTGACGTCATGCACCGGCGACTCGCGTCCGTCCCCATGCAGGGTCTGACCAACCGTGCGCATGCGGCTCTGCAGCCTTTGCAGCTTGGCCGATGATCTTAACTAATAGAGACTGCAGTTGGTGGAGCTTGAACACGCCATGTGCTGCAACGGTGACGATGGTTGCTGTGATGGTCGATGGTCGGCTGTACTTCCTGGGATGGAGTGCAGCAACGTCGGGCGGCACTGCCGGCCGGGAGACGATTCGACGCACGTGATAGCGGCATCTCTCGAGACACTCAGATTAAGTTGCTATACAGCCGAGGATTTGCCCAGGCTTTCGGGAGCGCTCTTGGTTCGCTGACACTCCTCCTACATATTCTCGCCGTGCGGTCGATCAGCTTGGTCGCGCCGTGGATGCTGTTCGGTAGGCGCGGTCGCGCTTTCTGCCATGGCGGGACAAATTGCCAATGCATGCTTGGTAGTCGGGAGAGGCTCGTGTGGAGTTCACAAGCCTAGCGTGGGGATGAGGCTGACATGTGCACCGTCTTGCAGATCTCGGGCCTTCCTGTTTCGGGACATCCGGGCGCATTTCACTGACCCAACTCCTTTCTCGTCACGCAGGCAGGAGTAAACAGCGGCAGCAACACCACCGAAAGCAGTCCTCGCAGCCTACGAAAGTGCTCCATACCGACAGGTCTACCCCAGGACCCAGCTAAACTGCGCCGATCTCTCCAGTACCCCATCAATCC